GAGCACTTTCCAAGATCTACACCCAGATAATCTGAGACCTCACCCCCAATCTAGTCAAGTACATATACATAAACAACAAAAGTTGTGAGTGAGAGGAACACGTAAAAGCGAGAGACACATACAGGAGAGGAGGACACAGATAGAACATAACAGGAAACTAAGAACGAATGGGTGGATTTCGAGGAGGAGAATCTTTTGTGTAGATTTTGAAGATACAAAATTCCTGCTGGACCTTTTTGTGCATCTGTGGCTCCGCTACCCTAAATTTCTGGGGGTGACTGGAACTGGTCCTGTCCTCCTGGAATTGGATCCCTACATGACCTCTGATCCCTGGATTTTTTGCAGAGAATAGAACCCCCTGAAGAAGCTCATATGTGAAACGCGTAGGGGATCGGGGGAGTGGCACAACAATGTATATGTAATATAATGATGGATAAATGATTGACATTAGGAAATGGACAATGAATTATGTATGATCTATATGCAAGAAATTTAGGGATTCAACAATCATGTATATATATTAACTTCGATTTTAATTTTCATCATGGAATAATAATTTGTATGAACTGAATACATTTATACGATTTTCTAACCTTCTGAGTCCTCTCTTAAGAAAACCCCACCACAACTTTTGTTGTTTATGTATATGTAATCCACCTTTCATTGTCAAAGCTAAACTGAACAAACTGAAGAGAGAAGCCGATTGGTTGCCATGGGCAAATGCTCCAGATTTTGTCTGCTCCAGTTTTGATATATTCCCCTTCATGTGTATTAATCATATTGGAGCTGAAGCTCAGTCAGGCTAAACAGGAGATTTATTTTTAATGGATGTTTAGTTATTTTAACAAACATAAACCATTTGGCAGCTTTGTGACCATGTAGTTTATAAATATTTATATTTTTATTACCCTTGTTCCTTTTGTTTGTTTTTTGTTTGCCTGCTTTTTGATACACTATACTATTATCTAAACTGAATGCTGTGCCAAATCTGCAAGGCTTTACTAAGAAAACAGTTAATGCTCATCAGAATTGACAGATTTTAAAACCCAAATAGGTACAGCAAGTACAAAGTGACAAACATAGGCCAACTGTTCTGTTAGAATTTGTTTGTATCTTAGAATTCATTATTGATTGCCATATTGATCAAACGTTGCCTGCCAATTGGACATTGCTTAAACTTAACTCAGCAGGTCACAAACCACATGCATATCAATACACACTTGCAATGCAGTCACAAGGCTAGCTGTAGTATCTCTTTAATGTCTCTATTGAAAGCATAAGCTGGTGTGTGTCTGAAAAGAGATACAAGGGTTTTGTTTAGTTTCTGTGTGTAGTATCTAATTAGTGACTGGTATTTTCTGACATAATCCAATGGAATTATAGTAAAGGATATTAAAATTGCAACACGTTATAGCCAAATTAATGCCTATCATGTTTTTCTTCATTAGGATTCTATAGAAAGAAAATCTCATTAGTATGGAACTTGGGAAACCTGAGCTTTTTCAAGTCAATTCTTCTTAGAAGGTTAAACAATGGATTTAAGTCCCTTCCTGGGCTGTAACAATTGATAATTCTAATGTGAAAATTAATATGCAAAGTACAGAATATATCTTTTTTCAGCAGTGTGTGACTTTTAGTTCAAAATTGTTGTATTTATGCTAAAAGGTACCACAGATGGTACCTTTTAGCATAAATGGTATATTGTTCTAACTACTGGAGCTTTGTACAGATAAGTAAGACATGAGGTTTACATGCTGATGTGGAGTAACATCATTACAATAACAGTTACAGCCTTCTGTATAAACATATTAAAGGCTACTGTATGACAGTCTAAACAAGTTCCGAAGTCAGTAACTTTTTTATGCACAAGCCTCATAAAGTGAACAAAAAGCTTCCTTTACCTATCCTGTGTAAAAGCCTCCTTTGTTTGTGTTTCAAATTCTACCCCTACCAGACACTGCAGCTCACAGTGTGAGGGTTTCAGCAACATAGGTGGCACTGTCAATCAGGAAATCAGTGGGCAAGGCTAGTTGTGGGCAGATGCTGAATGACATTATACAGGCTTGTAAATCCGCAATGACAATGCTGATGCCCTCTGCAACTGTTTTCTATTTCATTGTAGTGCAAGTAGGTACAGCCTACATGAGAGTGGGAACTCTGCTCTGAATTAAAGAGCAGTGCAGCATCATTACCGCATCATCACAGGAAGCTGAGTTAGGTATTCTTCCCTGACAGGCTCAACAGATATGTGTAGGACTAAGAGATGAACATATAAGTGCTGTAACACATCTTCTCTAATCAGAGGTCATAGTTGTACTTTAGGGATTAACTTCCCGTTAGCAACCAATGAGCATTGGACTTTACCTGAAAATGTTATTGATTTCTGTGGGAGGTTAAGTTCAGTTCTTAATTATTAATGCATTGATAAAGCTCCTAGTATAGTATGGTGACTGACAAGTTATACCAATCAGAAGCCTTTCACAATTGGTAGATGGTAGTATGGTGCTAGCACCTTATTCCTAGTAGCCAAGGAACATGTGGGTTCTTCAGAATGCTAACTTGGCAGAAGTTGCAACCTAATTGACTGTTGATTTTATGTCAGTGGATGACTGGGCACTGAAACAAAATTCTGCTGAGTAGACTACAGATGTCAAAGTCAGGCACACTAAACCTTAGCTACCAATAATACCATTAGCACAGAACAAAACATTCCCAAGATGCAGGGAAAGCAACAGAGCACACACAGTCTCTGTATATATTTACAATTATTTAATACAGTTAAAGTCTCATGTAACCATTAACATCTGGATATTAAGTTTAACTGCTTGAAGACCAGGTGTTTAGACACCCTTCCTGGCCAGGCCATTTTTCAGTATTCAGCGCTGTGGTACTTTGACTGACGTTTATTCCGTCATGCAACGCTGTACTGAAATGCATTTTATACCATTTTTTGGGGACAGCTTTCTTTTGGTGGTATTTAATCACCACTACTGGTTTTATTTTTTACTATAATTAGGAAAAATTACAAAAAATTTTGAAAAAAAAAAAAAGATTTTGTTTACATTATGTTAGGAAACATTTATTATTACCCAGTTTTTTGGTACAATATAGAAGACCAGGTCACGTCGGGTAAATAGACACCAACATGTCAAGCTTTAAAATTGCGCGCACCCGCAAAATCGCAGAAAACTACCATACCCAAAATTGGCCATAGGCGACACTTTAAAAGCTTTTACCACTCATCAGTTTAGTGTTATCAGTGATTGAAGGCCCTAGAATTATTGCTCTCACTCCCATGTTCGTCATTTTTGCACGTATGTGCCCCCGACGCATGTTTGCATGCGTGTATGTATGGGTGGGGACTTTAAAAATGTTTTTGTTTTTTTATTCTTTTTTATGTGTAACTTTAAATTTGGGGGGGACTTTAATTTTTTCCTTTTTTTCCCCCCTAAACTTTATTGCTATCACATACGGGGGTAATAAACCCCCCTATGCAAAATATGTGGCAGGTCCTCTTTATGGAGACATCAGGGGTCTCCAAGACCCCTAAGGTCACCTAGGACCCCCCAAAAGAAGCTGATGAAGCTTCTTTTGGAGGAGAGGGGACAATAGGGAGCTCGTGTAACGATCTCCCTCTGATCCCCTGTGTCACGCACCCGGGATCAGCAGGACAATGGCGGGGGGACCGTGGAGGGGGGGGGGCACCGATCGTTACCCCATATAAGCGATCCGCTGGCTCTACAGCCGGCGGATCGCTTGTATGTTAACAGGCATCACTGCCTGTTTTTAAATATTGGGCATTTCCCGCTGAGGGGGCATGTCTGAGCGGACGTCTAAAGATGCCCGCTCAGATCTAGAGAGCTCCCGGCCGGCCGTTTTTTTACTACGGCCGGCCCGAAGGTAGTTAACAGCCAACTGTCCAGGTAATGACTCAATAACTCAATAATGAGACTGACATTTCTTTTTAGTGCTTTTGTCACACAAAGCATTATGAAATAGGGAACATTGTCAAGATTTCTCTCATTAAGCCCCGATGAAGGAGATGTGATTTAGACCCCTGAAACACATTGGCTTCTTTGTTTCTATCTACTTGAATGTGCCCCTGACCCTAATGGAATAACGTTGTATCTGGGCTATTTAAATTGTGTGGTGCGTCATGGCCCACATCTACTGTATTTAGTGTCAAGACAAGGATACTGTGGAGATCTTTTGGATTGCGGAAGCTGCCTATCATTTAGCCACATCACCTTTACGTACCTTAACTATTGTTGTATGAGAGACACCAACAGAATAACTACGTGGGTCCAGTGCTTTCTTTCCACTTCAAAGGAATTTCAACAGACATGCAGCAAATAAATATAAATACTTATTTCTGCTGAATGTACCAGATGATTTGAAAAGCAAATATTTTTTGTTTTTAAGAAATAGACACATTTTAACAGTTTTCTTTGAGTTATTTGTATCTGGTACTTCAAACAAAGGGTTCAATAAGCAGCTTTTAAAATCAATGTTTCTCAAGTATGCGTCCCTGAATTAAAGCAATGCCTACAAAGTCCCCCATAGTGAGGGTCACCATTTATCAAGTACTTCTTAAAATGCATACAATGAGACAATACAAGTCCTTATATACATGTTTTCCAAACAGCCCCTTTTGCTTTTCAATAACTACACATTTTACTTATATTTTTTCTTTATGTCATTTACTAATTGCCAAAATGCTCTATTGATATAAATATATTTTAGCAAGCATAAGTACCCCTGAACCTGTCAGAAGCTCTCTTTTCCCATGGTACATATACCATTAATTAAGAACCTGCATGCTACTAAACCAACAGTGACACAAGCATGAGTAGTAATTAGTCAACGAAAGTGAAAAAGCAGCAGGATAAAAATGCTGTATTCCCTATAGGAAAAGCACTGTAAAAAAATAAGAATTTTAGATCATCCCATGGCAAAAAAAACATTGGCTATTTCCATCGAAAATGACAAATGCAGCATACCTTTTCCAAGGAAAATGTTTTTGTTAACGCAAATCCCCATCCTGCTTCAAAGGCTCTGCGTATCATAGGAGCGCTTGTAGTGGGTGGAGCACTTGCTAGTCCAAAAGGGTTAAGAAACTTCAGTCCAGCCATTTCCACACTGATATCCACCATATCAATTGGAGTATAGAACAATGGCAACTGTGGCTTATCACCAACTGATGTTCCATGAAATTCCTATTCAAAAGTTATAACAATTAAACATAATGTTAATTTTAGAATCTGAGACTGTTTGAGAGAAAAAAAAAAAATTTACTTGATCGTGGGTTAATTGGCCTAACATTTGGTGCAATTGCATTAAGTCTGTAAAGTGGACATCTATGTGTTTGATAGCTTCATCCACCAGGGAGCAATAATTAATTATCTTAATTGACTTTCACCTCACTGGATTATTCACACTAAATAATCTGCACAAATTCATTAGACTTTATTGAATACGAAATTAATTCTGCCATGTCTTAGAAGAAAATAAAATGTATTATGCAGTTATCTCAGCAACTATGTGACTACGTTTTTTATACATGACAACTCATAAGTGATAGAAATATAAAAGGGGAAATCTTGGCAAAATCCTTACCCCAATACTCATCTCAGTGTGCCTTATTTATTATATGACTCTTATATACCATGCACTAAGTCTGGGTAACAGTTCCTACGGGCTGTATATGGTGTCACCACAATAAAATAAGCAGCAATTTGGCCACTTCTAGTGCCATAATGGATAAGGGTATAAACCCGGTAGGTGAAATCCTTCAGTGACATCAGTGCCTCCTTCCATAGAAACTGACAGCATAGTACCTCCTTATATCGTGCCTTGCAAGTGTTTTGAAAAACATTGCAGCAGTTGCAAATTGCCACAAGGTGGAGCTGAGGAGCATAGGAAATAATTACTTATTTCTATGCTGCTCAGCCTCTTGCATCTTTTAGCACTTTTACACTCAAGCTCTGTTGTACAGGGACTCCAAGAGCCTGGTACCAGATCAGATTCAGGTACCTAGATTGTTTGCATCTAAAAAGTACATGTAATAATGTATTAATAAATACAGAACTGCATTTATGTGTGTATTTGATGTCCGCCTAGAGTAAATCTTTGAAATGGTTTATTGCAATCAAAACGTGGTAAGCCAAAAAGCATTTGGCTTGGTCTAAGATTGGCAGGATTAACTCTAGGTTGCTAGCTAAGCAATGCTAGTATTTGTAATATATAATAATAGAAAATGAAATAGATATCAATGCACATGGATGCAGCCTTGTTAAAGCTCAGTATATGGTGACTCCCCATATAATTACACTATTCTGCTTTGCTTTCCATTAAATGTGATCCTAACTTTCTCTTTTTTATTAGAGAAAATCACAAATGAACATGTGTAAAGTCTTATAATGGCTTCCAAAACGGTTTGCCATTTGCTTAAAATCTGTATGACAGAATCTAATCCACTGCTGTGAATTCTAGCACATTAAGATATTAATAAGCTTATTTGCTTTGTTAACTCATGTCTGAAAATCTGTAGATGGACATCTGTTTATGAGTGAAAGCAAATGTGTGTCTATTTACACAAATTTCATTTATCCCACTGTAGAACAAATTAAATTTATTGGATTGCATCTTAAAACTGTTGGACGGCATCATAAATCATAAAATGCCATAAATCTGCAATGTATTTCCCACAGAAAACAAGCTTCCTTGTTAGCATTGCATGTTAAATGTGAAAGATGCTAAAACGCACACTAAAAGGGTTTCCTGTGTTTGATATTTTTTCCATAGTATTTACTGGTAGCATTGATACCTGTCTTAGATAATTTAGGACTTATATATAAGTCGTCAAATTAATTTAAGGTAACCTGTAGTAACAAAAACACAGGGGTTGCCGCCGCTGACATCTTCAGAAAATATAAATTGCCTGGCTTTCATGCTGATCAGATGTCTTGAATACTTTGAGTCACGGACCAAGTACAATATTTAGATAAGTTATTCTGCTTTTACTTGTTGCATGTTTGTTCGATGTTGGTGAACTAAAAAGCATTGGAAACATGACTACCAGATAACTAGAAGTGTAGTAAAGAAGGCCTGCATATTTCTGCAATGGAGATGGTTAATAAGTAACCAATTGATGCAGCAGGTAGGTGATTGCTGGGTTGCCAGTCAAATCCACTGCTAGAAAGGTATAACCAAAATTAAAACTACCATGCTAAAGCTAAAATTCAAAGGTGTGAAAGGAGCAAAGTGCACAAAAACCAGGCTTTGCTATAGCTGATTTTTATATGTTTCCAGTTTGATTCTGCAGCATCCTCAGCTATGCCTTGATATCAGTGTTAATGATTGCCTCCACAATGCCATCTTATCATAGTCTGAATCATGACGTCTTCCAACAGCCTAAACAAAATATGTCAGAGATGTTTTTCCAGTGTCTACTCTCAAAACCTCTTCTGATCTTGTTGTTGTGTGAACTGGTAAGACACTGTGTACCTTTTGTGGTGATGTTCAAAAGCTGTAATCATGCAGTTCCCTACTTTCTGTCAGGTACAACCTTGATGCCCCAATAGTGTTAATCCTCTAACCACTGACTGAACAATAATGCAGCAGTGCAATAGTAGGCAGTAGAAAAAGAACAAGGAGTCTCTGAAATGGGCAATCAATGTTGTCACCTTTCAGATCTGTGTCCAGAGCTGCAGACCTAAAAAATTCTGGACTCAGATCTCATGATGGCCTATAAAAAAAAACATGTCACAACCTTAGCTGGGAGAAGTCTCAGTTAGCAATGCTAACTGGGTACTGGGGTTACTTGCTCTTAAATTAACTAGAGGAAATCTGGTGTCTATGGAGGGCACAATAGTACACTTTGGGGTCTATTCACAAAGCTGCCGAGGGCAGCCGAAAAAGTGCTAGGTTGTCAAGCTGGACCAAGGAACCACAGGAAAAGTAATATGTCTAAGTTACATTAAGTGATAACATTTATAATGCACACTGTAAAATATATGGGTCTTGCATCTGCTTGTGTGTGTTTTCTGCTCTGGTATTAGAAAAAATTCACATCGTCTAGTGGATTCACAAAGGGGGTGCGGGAAGTGCGGACCGCACCCAGGTGACACCATTGGAGGGGTGACACCAACATGACTGACAGTTGTTTTGGTGTCACTCCCTCTAAAAAGCCAGGCACTCTGTCATGGACCAAGAGCCCGAAAGTGTCAGGAGAGAGGAGAGGACCTGGCAGCATATCTAATCCCTCCGGGTGATGTCCCCTCCTCTCTCTACCGGAGTCCATCACCAAGATGGCCACCGGCAGGCGTCAATTAGATGGCCATGCATGCACAATGGCGTAATCCCACAGGTGTGTCACACGCAATTACCTCACGGCGGGGTGTCACCCAGTCTCTGCTCCGGGTGACACCCGGCCTTGGGATGCCCCTGACATCGTCTAACAAGCTATTGACTCATCTCCATTTCTGTAAATGCTAAGCATAAATGATAATATAGTATTTATGTGCTGAATATAAGTATCTCTTAGCTCCAGATAATTACATTACAAGCAGAGACATTGAACCCAACAAATATTTTTTCAAACCCATTTATGTCTACACTAAAGTACACTGAGGAAAGTTTTTTTGGCATACAAGAGTGGATACGTGAAATTAAATATGGGTGATAATTTAGTAATAAAAGGAAAATAATGACATAAATGAGTTCATCTAAAGTGTGGAAAAATCAGCAGAATACCATTCTACCTGGACAGGGAATTAGAAAAGATGACATACCTGTATATATTTGTGAATGTACCAAGATGCTTGTTTTCCATCATTAACTGATTCAACAGTTGTATTTGCTAAACCTCCGATATCCCCTCCAGCAAATACACTAGGCTCACTGGTTTGCATTGTCTCTGAGTTAATATCAGGTAAACCCCATCTGTTAAACTTGATTGGTTTCATGGCTTCAGTAACTGAAAAAGAATATAAGAAAATGTTAAAAATATAATGCTTAAAAAAATAACTTTCCTGCTTTGACAATCAGCAGGTGGAGGATTAGGTTTGGCATGGTGAGAAGATGATAGCTGACTGGCCTGAGTGGCCCAGAGTATCAGAATGTTGATTACAGTGACAGGATATCTTTAGAGTAGGTAATGTGGATATAACTAGATACAATGATTTATCAGCATTATATTCTGCAGTGAATTTGTGGAATATTTCTGCTACTTGAGAATTTAAATTATGTCTGTTAAATATTAACGTGAATGGTTATTGGTGTTGCATTTTTTAAATTATGGTCAGTACTAAAAATTGTATTAAAATGTTTCTGTCAAGGTGCCTTGACAGCAAAGGCAGGTAAGTCATAATACTACACCCTAGCTTTGCTAAAGACTACAAGAAGTTAGCCTCATAGGTAGCCTCACATCTGAATGCAGATGTTTCAACAATTATCAGGCCCACTCTACAGAATTTTTTGGATGCCATTAATCCAACTAAACAATCGAACGGAACAATTCCAAGGTATTGAACACAAAGCGGGAAAGGTGGAGGAACAACACAACAGTCAGCCAATCACAACACATTTTGTATGTAGCCCCTCATCAATAAAGTAGACTGTTTACAAAAATAGAGCATACAAAGCGGGGGAGGAAGGTTAATGAAGTATAACTACAAAGATTATTTTTGAGTCAAACGGGGGAGGAAGGTTAATGAAGTATAACAACAAAGATTATTTTTGAGTCAAGTTAAATGGAGGGTCCCCTGCTTCTATATATTACCAAAAGATACAATTTTCCCCAATAGGGGATCCCACCATTATTTCAAAGTATACAGCAAATATTTATAAAAATATATTTATTTTAGATATATTAAAAGGCATACATATAAAAAAATATCAAAACACGAACAAACATATATATGACTGCATTCGGCTAATGGATGAAACAATGCATGTGGAAACAAAAGGTAAAGGGCACACCCTGGAAAGCCTCAATATTCTCATGTATGGTAGTTATACTTGGTATCAAGAGAATTCCCTTGTATCTAGAATTTCCACAAAGTCAGAAAATAATGTCCATTTTTTTAGCAAAAATGGCATTAAAGAGTTAACATACACGTGTATGGAGAAAAAGAATAGTCAAATCAAAAATATTTCATGTAATTAGTAGAGATATGTGGGTTCAACTCACAGTGGTGTGTTTCCTCGTTCATGGGTCCGGATCTGAAGAACAAAATAGTATTGCCACTGATGCAAGTAGATCTGGTTATAAATATGAATATCTATTTTTTCCATGATGTCACAGTCCACCAGGCACTAGGCCTCCTGGGCACCTGCAAGGTGAAACGGGCCCTGCAAGTTGGCACCCTGTTGTGACAGTTCTAAGGACATATGTAGACTTCTTAGACAGACAACAGCTCCACAGAGCATACCACACTCAACGTCTGCCTCTGTTCTTCCCCCAACAGTACATCCACACAGGAATGCAACTTAAGGCCCTTTATATGCTGTAGATGGTGCAATTTATGGCTAGGAAGTTGTTTCCAACGTGTATACAAATTTGGTTGTGCCTGTAATCTCTTAGAGGCTTTGTAAAACCTTCTGTTTGATATTTCTTTATGATATCTGATTGGATATCCTTGACAGAAGATCACTTTCCACTGAAGGGAAGAAAACAATAGTAATACAAAACACAAAAATTCCCTAGCCTCAACCTGCCAGCCAGCCTGCAACCAAACAAGTAGCCCTGTCAACAGTATGCATTAAAATCAGAGGTTTTAGTTGCACAAACTTTTGGCCAAAAATATGTAGAAGCCACACTGCCGCGCCAAGGCACCTCTGCAAAGTGTGGTCCTAACTCTATGTATCCGAGTCTCCAAGTGTGAGCATATTAATGAAGTTGATAAATTACATGCAGGTGTACCTGGAGGTAGCCAACTCCTCCTAATAAGGTGCAGGGACGCACTGGAGGCCCAGCAACCAAAAATGCACCCTGGAACTCCAGTGCGTCCCCCAAAACAAAAATAGTCAAACTAGAAAAAATGGTACATGCATGAATCTATAACCAGCCTTTAAATGTCTTCCTTATTTTCAAGCGTTGTGCTGACTGTTGGCACTATATAAATCCAGTATAAAAATAATAACAATATATTGTTCAACTTGGCTAGTATCTTCAGGCACATATACAATTAGATTAATAATACCTCATATTGCACAAACACAGCGGTAAAAGTGCATATTGCATTTTTATGGTGCATCTTGCAGCACCATTGTCCCTGGCAAGACTCCAAAACACTCTACTGAACCTTCTACCTCAATTTATTAACAAGACTTTCTCTTAAGAGAACCTTAATCACATGGAAAGAAGTTCGATAAATCTCAAAACCTCCAGGGACAAGTCTCCTCACTTATGCCCTTAACCACTTCTCCAACCTTCTCCACGGTACAGACTTCAGGGCTTTTAGACTATTGGACAATAAAGAAACCCATGTAACTCTATGTAAGATCTGTTATTTTCACAGGGAACCTGTAAACCATCCCAGCACATGCAATGGGTTAAACATGCACGTCTTGGCTCTTTCCATCATTTCTCTAGCTGTAACCTACAGCTTTTATGGACCTACAACTGACATAAGCTGATGCCACACACTAAACATGGTATGCCCATTGACAAATGTATTGTCAGGTCAGAGTGGACAAAACAAGGATTGCAAATGTCACTCCTTCAAGATGGACAATGCAGGGGAATCAGCACATGGTGTTTTTATATCTCAGCAGATAAGTTGCAACTCTATAACCCGCCATTGCCTAACCCTCCAAGCTAGCAGGCAATCTTCTGTATTCTCCAAACCTAACTACACACTCAAGTGGGCTAAATTGACCAAACAAATACCGGAAGAAGCTCTACTCAGTATAAAACTGGGCTAGCAGTGCCTTAGATAGGCTTTTGTGGGAGAGGCGTGGAGGGAAATTTCTATTTAAATTGATCCACAGAACATATCTGATTTTCAACATTCCTCACAGATCCCTCATGCCTGGCTGGTTGACCTCTTTTCTAAAATGTGACACACCACACCCAAATCTTACATAACACATTTGGTCCTGCTCACAGATAGCGGACTTCTGACAACAAGCAGTTTAATATATGCACAATGTCACAGGGAATGGTAGAACTCAGCTACCCAGTGTTCTCCCTGTTTCATAATGTCACAGGGAAGACATTAGACAAACCTAATCCATTAAGGTGGGAACACAAGTGCTTACAGGCTATACCCTCTAAATGGCTGCTCCCACAATTCCTTGCACTAGCCAAACTAAAGAACATACTAGAACAACTTATGCTGATAGATAAGTTGTATTCAAAGTACACCCATACCATCTCCATGACATTACCACAGAATAACTTTAATTAAAGCAGATTGACCTTGGCCCTATCCACATACTGCAATAAAGATCTAAATGATGTTGAGACACTCTCACTGCTCACAATGAAATTGCTAAGTCTAAGATCTGGACAACGTCTATGTGAAGGGTGTAACAGTTTTTACTTTTTCAAATACTAGTTTTCCAGGTGTCATACTATGCCTCTTGCTTTAAAACTTGAGTCACTCAACCAGAACAAGCATGCAGATAAGGTGCCCCGAATTACTCTGACTTGCCTTAAATATATAATTAAAGCACTGAAGCCAGTAGGTCAGCATATCAGTCAGTCATCTGGAATTTTAGAAGATGATCAGCTTTGGAAACCACCATATTACAGGATGGTTTACTTCTTAGGGAAAACTGAGGGAAGAGTAAAGCAAAGCAGACAATTCTAATTTTCTTTGTTGTCTGTAGGAAGGCATGTTCACTAACTCTTCACTGATCATTTCCTTTTCCATCTCAGCAAAATATTGAGACTGGAGGGAAGCATGCAGATCCTGGGGATGTTGAATTCAGGACTACTATCAGTTTATTTAAATTGGCAAAATCACTGATGGTTTTAGGGAAGAGCAGGAGCAATTAACATATTATAGGTTTTATTTTTAAACTTGCTTGATTTCTCTGTATATCTTACAGTAGCTGAAGCATATTAAAACATTATTTATTCAACAAATCTAAGAAAATGGGCAAGCATTTAACATTCATTCTTCCCAGATTCTTCTTTGCATGAACATGCAAATATGCAGGTTTATCTTTGTGCATTAGAGATAGGCCTGGTGCTAATATTATGGCAACAATGGGCTACTGGGTTAAAAAAAAATGTCTATCTAATTATCAAGCAAGAACTGAAGGATAATTACCTAATATCTACAGGTACCTTTACCACACCAAATCAATCGTAATAGCTTAGTAGAATGGCATTGTTTCAAGTCAGCAAGACTAAAAACCTTTCATCCAATATTTGCATTCCACTGATGACCCCATGTAACTACCATTTGAAAAAATAAATTAACTTCATTTAGCATCACTTTGTATTTATCAAAATAACACCAAAAAACATAAATATATTGTAAACAGTTTGTCACAAAATGCATGCTTCCAGGAAGTATCAACACCACTGACGGCACACATATGGTCCGTCTATTTCACCCGATCCTCCTTAAATTCATTGCTTAAATACAGAGAATACAATACAGGCTTATCCCTCTAATGTGTTTCAAATACCTAAGTACTTAAACAAGATTATGCAAGTGTCGAGACGTCTGGACTTTATGTACGCAGCCACCTGTACACAATAAGTGTTTATATCAACATCATCCATTTTCAACATCATTGTAAAAAAAATAACAATAAGTTTGGAGTTTAAACTATACCCTTTCTTGACTAATTCAAGTTATTAAAGATGCACACTTTCAGGATAATATAAATCCCTTCTTTAGGATTTAAATATTTTCTTAAAATTGTTCTGAAACCTACATATTTATACACACAGTTACAAGGAGGAGCAATGAAATATAAATATATATTTTTTAAATTACAGATTTTCTTTTCTTA